TAGCCTACTACATATTTGTGAGGGTGTCGATTCGCACGCCAATAAATGTAATTCGTGCGAATCAACTACAGAAAAAATAATATGTTTTAAAGGAGTCGTTTTGCACGTTTCGTGCGAGTTAAATTTGTGCGAATCGTCCAATAAGCCAGATAAACGTCCGCGCGCATCTGCGTAAAAACACAACAACAAATTTTCCAAATGTGATGCTAAATTTAATTAAACATGTTGTTGTTTACATTTTTTTTTTAGGTAAACATAATCCTTATCGCGTACTATATCACCTGTTGAAATATTGTGCACTATTTTTGTTAGACCTTATATAATAGACACAAGTAAGTAATCCACCTTTCTAATTAACCATCTCAGTAAAGTGACAAATATAAACACTTGAAGTACTCTCTTTCACTAAGTGCAAAGATCTAATGATCCGAGCGAGGAGCGCACTCTCTCACGGTGTCACTGCGTATGCGCATACAATAATATTTGTTGTACGGACACTGCGGCCCGTGCGTCTGCGCCCGTGCACAGGGCTCGCACGCGGGGAAATGGGTTCAGTTGCCTTTCACTGACTGACATACGTTACAAAAAATAATATTTTTAAATGCATATTCATAACTAGGTAATATAAGTTTTTATTTAGATTGATTATGATATTAGAAACTTTCATAATTTTTATTGAGTTCTGTTTTTATGTAATTTAAGTTTTATGTAAAAAAAACTTTTGCCAAAGCCTTGCACAATTCCCAGTTACCAATGAAAATCGTCAATGAAATAATCGACCAATTTACATAAAAACTATGCCCTGCCCGGTTTTAATTAAGAATTCAAGTAAATGTAAGTGTTCTGAGACAGCCCTATAAACGAGTGTATAATTACAGCGCGGTCGCAGGTGACCCGCACTATATTGTACGTGTGTATGTGTGTGTGTGTTTGTGTGTCTGTGGCACTGATTGCTGATCACTCTGTATCTGTACACAATGCATTCCACTATAATGACTTTCTATTTTAACTATCAATAATATTTATATGAGCCGGCTTTATGACTTAAATTAACTTATTTAAATTTTTTCATTTTTATTACGATTGTGATTCGTTTAATAGGACTTAAGTTGACCGAAGCGCCATTTACGCTTTCTTTAAAACAAAATAAACAATCAGTATGTGACACTTGTTGACAGTTTTATGGCTTTTTACTCCACCAACCAGCCCTAAACTATCTCTTTACTAAACTAAGACTTACTTAAGGGAGGGAGTACCAAAACTAACCCCTTACTTGTAATGTTAGGTATCACTTAGGTCAGTGAAATCTAAAATGTCGTTAAGTGTTACCTATCACAGATTTCTTTAAAAAGAGAGGTTCTCGAAAACTTGAACTAGATTGATAAAATGTTAGCCCTGAAAGAATAATATGATCACATTGATGAATGCTGCTCATTAATATGAGCCCCTAGCATGGCTTGGAACTAGTCGAATTCCTCGTCAAACAGTTACGTGAATAAGCTGAAAACGTAATTATTTTAATAATGTATGTGTACAATGGGATTATATTCTTCAGAGCTAATAATAATTCGTACGATTCCCCGGTCGGGCAAAATATTACTGGGTTTTAAACAAAATCTCAGTAGTAGCACCTAGCACGGAGTCCAGACTTCGGATCTACCTACCTCTTCGGGGATAAAAGCCGTGATGTAATGTTTATTAGTTATTATTTTAGTAGGCTTCGAGCCGAAACCACAATAATTCATTTAGTATATCTCACGAAACTTATAATAAATACATTCATTAGTTAGTTGAGTTCACGGCATGTATGAGAGGTCGCGGTCAGTGTCAGTGTCGTCGTCTATTTCTGTAGTTCACAGTATCCACTTGATTATTCTGCATCTGTATCTAAACTATGATTCACATCCATTAAGGAACATCTTCATCCAGATGTCAGCACTGACAATCATATCCAAAAACTGCTAATGTTTAGGTCTTGAACACACTACAAGATATTGTGAAATCGTTAACTTCTAACATGACATACCACAAATTATGAAGTGACGTAGCATTGAGAAATTAATTTAATGGATACAAGTGAAACAAGTGACAAGTGAAGTGAAACAAGTGAATTTATTTCTGCAAATGTGCTACAAGGCAGCACTTTTACACGTCAATTTTATCAAGCGATCGATGAGGCCGACATTTTCTAACTGACTACTCTGAGAAGAAATGCCGAAACAAACTCAGAGGTCTGTCTCTTTTAAACTCCAGACAATATGTATAAAAGATTATGTGTGAGAACCGTGCAAGTTCTTTCTGTAGTGGCCTTTTGAGGAAAGAACCACAACAGTTTGAGCGGACCCGTTCTGAAGGCAGTACGCATGTGTCCGTTTACAATCAGCTCAATTAACAGGTGAGGTTGACTGATTCGACAAACAACACCAACCTAAAGAACACTTGCATGGGTCGCACAAATACTCAAACTGTCAGAATATGGGTAATTAGAAAAGAAATGGCGAGGAAAAATCTCGCACGGTACAGAAATAGACCTTCTCCAGAGTTCACATATCCTTGAATCTTTGTCGCAAAATACGCTATTATAAGTATACTTAATCTGTCGCAGCCACAATTGTAAATTGTTGAGTCGGCGTCATAGCCACATCATTTAAAGTTCTTGTTCACGCGCTCACTATGTTTGCGCCTCTACAAAACTCGGAAATAATTAGAATAACCTTTTCTACAATTTAAATAATAAATTCGGATCTAAGTTCAACAATAATGACAGCTACACCCGATCGTGTGGTCCGGTCCTAACTAGTTCGCTCCGATTGTGGAGAGTTAGTACAATTGCGGCGTCTCAAGGAGATTAACCACTTAGCGCATCTCCAGCGCGCGGCTCTATTGTATCTATTGCCTAGTGTCGGCCGGCGTTAGTAGCTTCCACCAATTAATTGCTTCTTCCGCCTGCTCCCATTCAGCTGATGAATGAACGACTGAATGATACATCGTCTCTGAGATAACGAGTTAAAACGCAATAGAAATTTATTGTACTACCTTCTTGTTGGACGGAGGTTTCGCCAAACTTTATGTTGTCTTTCAGGACATTTTTTTATTATATTTGATGGGGCGACGTTTGACCACTATCTCGCCTGGTGGTAAGCGATGATGCGGTCTACGATGGAGCACGTCGTCCCATAAGCAACCTATTCACAGACAAAAAGTTCCCAAATGCTACAACTTAAGTAAGCCAAAAACTAAACAAGAAGTAGATTACACCTTAAGTGGTAGTTATCTATGCAGGAAGCCAGTGCTTCGGGAGCTGGTCTAAAATCCTTTACGCCGGCTGTCTCTATAAACACTTTGTCTTTTTAAATGTGTTCGATTGGCCCAAAAAGAAAAAAAAAGAAATGATAATGTAATTGATTAAATACTGAATTTGTGATAAAATACTAAAATATCGATTAAGCATTTCATTCATTACTAAAATGCACAAATTATTGGAAGTTGGATTAGTATGCCGCCGAGGAAGCAGTATTCAAAATAAATGATGAAATTAATTTCTTTCATAAATCAATACGGTTACCTTATACTATTTATTTTATCAATGTCGACATTTTAGATTGGATCCTACAACGAAATCAATGAGAAAGTATCAACGGAGTACAAGCTGTATGTATGCGTACAAGGAGTAAGTACAAGTAATAGAAAAAGACCAACAAAAAACATTATTTCATTAACTCATACCCTTACTTCTTGCATCGTACAACAAAACATGGAAGCAACAAGTGATCCAGATGTAACAGTTGAATATACATATTTGTAACAGTTACATAAGCGACCGCGTCGAATTAGTTTCCGATCGAGCGACACCGCGCGCCACTGACTCACCGCCTGACCTCGCTGCGATACACACAACTACAACCTCATCGGGAAATGATGATACAGATACACAAACAATTGACTTTATATGTTTATTTGTTGATTGGTAATCGATGTAGACTGTTTTGGAAACAAACATGAAAGACTAAACAGTGTATGACAGGTGTACACTCAAGACCAAACACAATTCATGTCTGATCATTTTGTGATCGAAGACTTCTAAACAAACGAATGCCAAGTTCAAGGATACCAATGCGATTTGGACATTATTAGCGGGAAACTTGAGCATTTTATTCAACGTACTTCTTGGCAGACAAAACCGAGACAGCAGTTTAGTGCAAACATTTCCATTGTTACCATCATTGTGTTGGATTCAATCGAATTCCGTCGTGTTTCCGTGAAATGAAGCGCGCTCATTCATCGTGGTTGTGACGACACTATGCAGTGTGGCGCGCTCGCGTCACTACTTCATTTACATTACACCTGTTGGTGCAGATCTGATTTAGGGTATCTGTAGATGTTGCTAGATATCACAGAAGATATCAGTATTTGATTTTGTCAGCGACTAGTTCAAGAAAAGCTTCACGTAAAGAAGGGATTTCTAGGAAAAATCATCGAGAAAATCGGCAAATATCTCCCATGTGACTCGTTTTAACGAACAACAACAAAAAATATCGATTATGCAATCTACTCGAACCACGTGTACATTACCAGAGTTCGTCACGAGTCGTGATTTACCGTCCGTTACCGTTGCCCAGTGGGGGGCGGTCGTGAATCCCATCACCAATCAATCAGTTCAGCTCGATACCATCGATACTATTGATGGTATCGATACTATATCGATATCGTGCAATCTGGTGTCAGTCGTTATCCACGTCACCTCAACAACTGTCAGCTATCGGACAATGAGATGTGTTGTGGTTTTACTATGGAAATTGAGATGTAGTAGATTACATTTTTTAACGAGTTCTTTGGTGGATTTGTTGGTATCAAATTTATTTATTTATTTATTTATTTATTTATTTCAACTCTTACAGCTAACATTACAGGTAAATTATATAACCTAATGCGTTAGTGTGGCACTTTATACGGACATTTACTTACATTTACTTACATTTACAAAACTAACACTAACAAATTAACAATACCTAGACTAATAAAAGCAACTTAACACTAAAACTATATCTACTACTCTAACCTATAACACAGTATATATAAAATAATCTTTGCGAGTTCATTGAACTGACACGCAAATACATCTATTACAGTCTGGATTTGGTTAATCGTACGAATTGCTCGCGTCAGAGGCGTTTTGGCCAGTAGGTTGGTCTTGGCAGCCGGGACGGCCAGCAGCGGTGGACGCCGGCGCCTCCACACATAGCGGTCCGGAACACTAAAGCTCAAGAGCTGCAGCACTCCGGGGTTGTGTTGCTTGCCGTGGAGTAACTTAATTAGGTAGACGACCAGTGTGAACTGTCGCCGCACGCCCAACTCATTGTATGACACCATACCCAGTACAAAAAGTGTGGGGTACATCAACGGGTATAACGGGTATACCCCATACAGTCTCCAGTACAAGTGGCGCGCGAACTTATTCTGTACGCGCTCCAGCATGTCAGAGTACTTCGCTTCGTGTGGGGCCCATACAACCCCACCATATTCTAAATGACTTCTGACTAGTGCATCGTATAACACCCTAATCGCTGTGATGTTTGTGAACCCTTGCGACTGCCGAAGCACAAAGCCGAGGTTCCTGTAAGCCTTTTTACATATCTTTACGATATGTTCGCGAAACGTAAGATCTGGAGTAAGATGTACTCCTAGATCACGTACTTGTGTAACTCGCTGTAATGCTGTCGCCTCCGCCATGTACTCATAGCAGATAGGATTCCGCGCACGAGTAAAGGATATTATCGAGCATTTTGATACATTGAAGCACAACCCATTGTCCTGGCTCCACTTCACCACCCTATCTATGTCACCCTGGAGTCGCTCACAGTCAGACTGATCCCCAACCTCGAGCAGCAACTTGAGGTCATCTGCAAACAATAAACATGTACTATGTCTTACTACTTCCGGTAAGCTGTTAATCATTATGATGAATTCCAGTGGCCCCAAATTGCTACCCTGACTCACCCCAGATCTGGTGTAATAAGGCTCCGACACGTGCCCATTGTAATCGACATACTGCTGACGGTCCCGCATATAGCTGACAAAGAATTGTAATAAGTGCGGCGTACATCCTACGTCTGCCAGCCTTTCTAGTAAGACATCGTTATCCACGGTGTCGAATGCCTTTTTGAAATCAAAGTATGCCGCGTCCACCTGCCCGCCAGCATCCACCACCGGCACAACCTGTGCCATGAAGTTAAGCAGATTGGTGGCAGTGCTGCGCCCGGGCCGAAAGCCGTGCTGCGCATCCGATAGCTGCGCTTGTACCTGTCCCTGTAGGCAGCTTTGGATTGCGGATTCAAATACTTTTGCCGGTGTCGACAGCACCGCCACCGGTCTGTACCCGCTGACATCTGGACCTGACTTACCCTTGGGCACTGGAACGACTCGTGTGATCTTCCACCGATCCGGAAATGTCGACTGCTGTAAGCAGATATTGAAGACGTGATGCAGCGGGCTCACTAAAACTCTAGCACAATCTCTGAAAAGGAATGCTGGTATTCCGTCAGGGCCAGATGAACGCTTTGGCTTAAGGTTCATCAACGCTGTCTGCACGTCCTTTATACTCAAGGCCCCAATATGTACACGTGCACTGCCGGCTCGACTTCTAAACTTCTAAATTGAATGACTTGGTAAACAGAGACTTATATCTATAGAATAATGTTCACATCATTTTACATTATCGTATTACGGGTACTCGACTAGTATCGAAGTAGCTGAGCCATGCACTCCGGTTAGACTCGAAACTAGTCGACCATCCTTGTAAATCATTTACGTTCGCAAGCCACATACCTCCCATCAGTCACAAGAATCATTTTAGCTTCAGTACATTGTTCAGTCTCAGCATGACCCATTATTATAGTAAAGAGCAGCAATCAGCTCTAGGAAACTCGAAGACGTTCGTTCCACGATGCCTAAGTGCGAGGTAATGAGGTGTAAATAAGTAGGTTACTGAGATAAAGGCAAAGGTTGTGTTCTACTGATATTTATGTACAACAAGAACAATATACCTACTTACGCATTAGAAACCTGATTGTAGTAGAAACAGATGAGCTGAATGTTACCACTGCACACAATACATCGAGAACTAAGTGAGGGCACTTACTACAGGCTGTATGGACAAGAGCTAATGTATTGTCTGAACGCAACCGTACCTGTACTTATACAATGTCGATAGATTTTCAACCTTATTCAACAGTATTAAAGTTGCAAATGCATTGAATGATGTGATCAGTTTGGGTTAACTTGATGTGCTGTTGTCAGTACTTAAGGTAGTTTTGTTTCTGGAGAAAGTTCATGAACAATATTATGTTGTAGTGTGTGTGTGCACTAATTCATGTGTTGAGCTTTAAAATATTTGTGTGAGTTATTTTAAATACAGCAGTCACCGTTGTCATGAATACAAGAAATGTTAAAGGTTTTTTTTATTTATACAAATAGGCTACAAGGCAGCACTTTTACATGTCAATTTTATAAAGCAAACGATAAGGCAAATTGTAATATTTCTTACTGATTTTATGGTAATTTTATCAGCGTTTATGTAACATAACATCACGCCTTTTACCACCGAAGGGGGAGGCAGAGGTGCACATTACGGCACTTAATGCCACTGTACAATGTAACACACTTTTCAATATTTATGTTATGAGTTCCATGTAATAGAGGGTGAGCCTATTGTTATATACCGGGCACTATTCCAGACTCCGAGCTACTACTGAGATTTTGTTTAAAAAACCCATTAATACTTAGATTCGGGAATCGAACCCGACACCTCTTGCCCGGCAGTCGGACTTACGACCACTTCTTAGTCCGATTCGGGAATCGAACCCGAGACCTCTTGCCCGGCAGTCGGACTTACGGCCACTTGGTCAACGTGGACGTTTATATTTTTTAATAATAAAGTAGCCACACAGTGTCTACTTTTACCAATAATATTGCCAATTTATTTAAATCTTTGAAAGTGAACGTCTTTTTAATATTGTGCACATTTTCTTTAGACAAACAGCCAACGACAGTAAAATATGAAAATTCCATTCCTTACACTAAACACGAGGAAGTTTGAGTCGCGTGTGTGCCACGTGGTGGCTACAAGCACTATATTTACCCCCGCCATAACTACTACGCCTGCAATAGACTTCCAACTTTATTTCAAAAAGGGTACAGTTGAAAATTCAATAAAACATTCGGGTAGCTCGATATGCTGCTACTGTGTACGCACACCTTCAATTGACTTTCAGCTTTATGACTAAAAACATAAAGTTAAAAATTCCTTATAGATGTTGGGGTAACTTGATCTGCTGTTGTAAGTATTTAGGTACAGAATGTACTAAGTCTAGTGACCTAATGAGTTTACTGCGAACTGACGACATACGACATCTCTGGTTATAGAGCAAATACTCAGTTCCGTAACTATGTGGGCTACTGTGGAACTGTTTTATTGTTCGCTGGAATCCTGATATTGTTCCCGCATACGACGAAATTAGGGATTGGAATACACGAATTATTTAAAAAGTTAATTGAACTGCCAGCGATGAGGTCGATGACACGATCGCCTGCTGAGCATCACATTTATTGTGTTTTTTGCAATGATGTTTCGAAGATGTTCCTATAACTACCTGTCTATCTATACTCTATAGTAATATATGCCCAATATGCGTGTATTGTACTGTCTAAAGACGAAACATGAAAAAATATAATGGAAGGCCCATTCCCCTCCCTAAAGACCGGCAACGATCAGTAACTCCTCTTGTGTTGTGGATGTCCGGTGATCCGTTTTTAAAACTATCTAGTTCTTTGCCCGACCCGGGAATCGAACCCGAGACCCCTTGCCCGGCAGTCGCACTAGCGACCACTCTGCCAACGCGGCAGTCGAAGTCGAAGTTACATACTATCGAAATCTGAACTGTTAGGCAGTTGTTCCTAACCACCTAACAATTAGTCGCCGAGTACCAAGCTGACAGAAGTGCGAAGATAGTAAACTTTAGCATCGATGCATTCCACCAGCTAATGTTCAGCTAGAATAGTGTTCACGATAAACAGCGAGTACTGTCCTATAGTAAAATAAGTTACGATCATATAACCATTAAGTAGGGTTTGTTAGAGCGCGCAGGTGATTCGTTAGTTAGTGTTATGTCTGGCGCCTGGCGTCTATGATGTCCTGGTAGCCTGGTACCTGTAATTAATGTGTACGGGTATATATTTTTGTTTAACGATAGCCAATGTTTGTAGGCCTTGCGAAATAGTAAAATAATATATATTGAGACTAATTGTAATTTTTTGATGGAATAGGAGGCAAACGAGCAGATGGATTACTTGCTGGTAAGCGAGCAGCGTCGGCCATATACACCCGGAACATCAGAGAAGTCACAAATACGTTGCCGGCCTTTTGAAAAGGAATACGCTCTTTTCTTATAGGGTTTGTTTCGGTTGGAGATTCGTTTCACGGTCAAACTTGTGGAATTGATTAAGCATTGTTAACATTAATTGGATTGTATTTATGTTAAAAAAACCTAGATTTACTCATTGGTTTTGGACTTTTAACTATTGGTTATTTTAACCGTTAGTTATAGATACATTCCCCCCCGTTATTCATATAAGTAGGCAAGGAGCAAACGAATCAATTAAATCCATCACAAACAAGATGCAGTTTGCGGTTTAAACATTAAAGTTGTCTAGAATTCTAATGTTCCTGGTAACTACTAATTGATTACTCACATTGCTAGCAGACATACAGTCATAGATGTAGGTGCCTACATCTGATCTAATCCGTGGTAATGCAATAATTGGCGGCGCGGTACAACTGCCGTGTCCAATGAGATCAACTGCGCGCGGACACCTACTGACTCTTGTCATAGTATCATGTGTTTGAGAATAATAGCTACATAGTTAGATATATTGTAACTTTAGAAACAGTGTGATGGTACAGTAGAATACATTCTTCCATTCTCCTCCATCATCGGACTTCTTACAAAATATCTTGTTCTATAAGTTATACATATATGTTTCAGAAAATATTGTCAAACATTATTTCTTGATATGTCTGTGTCACTACCTCGTTGGCCGAGTGGTCGCAAGTGCGATTGCCGGGCAAGGGGTCTCGGGTTCGATTCCCGGATCGGGCAAAATACTACTGTGTTTTAGTCATCTCAGTTACTACTGAACCGTGCTACCGTGCTACAGCACGGGGTCTGAAATTTACATATTACATAAATAGTGAAAAGTGGGTGTAACATTGTACAGTGGCATTACGTGTCGTAATATGCACTTCTGCCTACCCCTTAGGGGATAAAAGGTGAGATTACATGAATGATTATTTCTTCACAAAAGCTTATGCAAACAAACCTATACTAATTAAATAATACAAATAATGCAGTCTTTCAAAGTCGCCTCCTAAAATATAATTACTTTTTTATTTTTTTTTGAGGGGGGAAAATCATCCAATCACTTCTCCCACCCGGGTGAGGCGGGAAGGAGTGTCAGACTCTTACTGACTAAAAACCACCCCGTTCCTACTCCTGCACTTCGAGCCGGAGCCCCAGCAACCCGTTAAGTCTTCCGCGGCTCCGTATCGGCATCAGCCCTGTTGGGCCCCATCTGTGGTGGTCTGATGGCTCTTTGAGGCGCGCGCGGAACGCGACGCGCCGTACGCTCGGGCCTGGTTCTGGTCGGGCGGCGAGTCACCCATGCTCGCCGTCCGCCCGTGCTTACGGTGGCCGGAAATCGTCTCGCGATCCCCGACGCCTCGGAGTGTCCCTCGCGACGGCCGGGTCGTGGCCGTTCGTTCCCTCACGCGCTCCGCCTCCTCCTTAGCTAGCATGACTGCTTCGCAGAAGGAGGAGACGGCATCCCAGTCCCCCTCGCTCCGTACCATGGTCTGAACAAAAGCCGGACGCGAGAGGTCGCCGTCGCCGATCACATTCCTGAGGACACGGCGGTGCAAATATAATTACTTGCAAGGACAAATAATGTTCCTGAACCCGCCAATTAAGTATAATCTTAACTTGTGAGTATGTATTGAACATCGATGATTTATAATTAAGTTGCAGGCTAATATATAATACCTAGGTACACTAGTGTTAGTCTAGACTGGGCTAGTAGCGTATAATTATAATTAATGTTAGCTCCGGGCGCTGTGTGTGATGTCTGAATCAGAGCCCACCGTGTTATTATGTGCTGTCAGACTTAGTCTAAGGTGCGGTGTGAGTGATGAGCGGTAGCGGGTAGTTGTAGCGGGTAGACAGATACTAAACGAATTGTGTTTGATGTATTTGCAATTGTCATATTTGGACAGAACACAATGATATTATACTTTTAATTTCGAAATACCTACTAGGTTAAGAAACAATTAGACGTAATTGTTCACCAGTGCTCTTATAAGTTCGGTGTTATGGGGCAAACCAGTCGCTATATGTATACGTCGGGCATAGTTCGAGGCACCATAAATAAGTTACAAAGAGTTTTAGAAAATACAAAAACTCAACGATAACTTTGATATCGGAAAAACTTGAACTAACTCGTCGAGTACCGTCATTATAGACACAATTAAAGAACAATAGGTCGCGGTCACCGGTGACCGCTCGGTGTTTGACAGTTTAACCT